ATAAATATTGATTAACGCTTGATTAAAACAAGGCCTATCCGTCATCTCCAATGCGTGTCATTTTCCTCTCGCTCTCATCTATTCGTTTCATTCCTCTAATTTTCTGTCCATATCAATGAGTATTCAAAATGTATGTATTCAAAATCCATTCTCGTATTTGACATATTTTACTCCGCTATTCATCAACGCGGATTAAGTCATGTATTACATACGAGGATAAACAGGATGTATATTTTGACAATCAACCATTCAAATGATCTAAATGGAGTCAGATCTATGGCCTCTATAATGTTGTGTGAACGAAAAAGTATGATTGTCTGAAGATTTCAAAAGTTATTTCAATAAAAATTAATTTCTCAGTGAATGTTTCTCACTGCGTGACTAAACTTCATAAATCTTACATCAATTGGATATTGACTTCTGAAGCAACACTATGCTGGTTGAAACGAAACATCTAAATCCAGACCCATGAATAGTCTAGAATAAGGCAGATTAAACGAAAAAAGAAGACTCACTGAATCGCTGAAGAAAAAAAGAAATAAGCCATTGATGACAATCTTCATTTCAATGGTATTGTTTACTGAGGCTGTACAGATTAATTTATAATAATTTAACAAGCAATATAATCTTTGTAAAAAGGGAAAATGAGTCGTATCGTGAAGTGTTTGGTTTTTTAAAGTGATATAAGAGTTTTACTGAATAATTGAGAAATGAAAGAAAAGCAGTACGAAATGTATAAAATAATATAGTTCGCAAAACAGACTTATCATAGTCACATGATCATTGAAAACCAGAGAGTACGGAACAGCTGTTTAGTCCAAGTATGAGACTCCTCAGCAGTATATATTCACATCCCTACCCGGTATTGCACCTAGAACCTTCAGTCTCACTTCGAGTAATTGTTTTTGATAGGTTCTTTCAAAAGCTATTGGAAGTAGACTTAAACCACGTTGTGTGTGAAGTAGTTATCCACAGAAGGTAATGGAATGCATTTGAGCAATATCTCAAACCGATTAACGTTAAACAAACAAACAATTAAAGTCTCTTAAGCCCATACTAGAGTGAAATAGCTATCTAATGTCCATAGGTTTTCAATGGTTTTCTAAAATTAGTTCTGGTATTAAACTATAAAATCTAACAATTCCCATAAACCCTTAAGTAAATCTATTGGATATAACTGTTCACGTGATGATTATGAAAGTGGTGAAGAGAAAGTATAAAACAAGAAAGTAATTATAGCAACTAATTGAAAAATCAAAAAAGTCAAAACTATTTACAGATATCTTACTGAATATGAATTTAATTCGAGAGATACCCCCTTTAGACCGTCAATTCAATGAAACATTGCTTTGGAAAAAAAAAAGAAACAGCAACCATTGGAAGCTTTTAATGATGGCATGCCATTTTATTCTACATTAAAAAGAATGTAAACGGAATTCTCCTCATAGGCTTACTTCATTAAGTGCCTATGTTAAAATGATTTTCAGGGTGTATAGATTCTGTTAATACAGTTCTTATTATGATTGTTTAAGTAGTAATATATTTGTGATATGCAAATATTATACAGAGTGACAACCCTATTTCTTAATTGTAAACCCGAATAAGAAGTTTATATTGATGTAAAGTCTTTTATGTTAATACTAACCGAAATTAAACATTGAAATATCTACTGACTGTTGTTTACAACTGGCATGTTAACTTCAAATAGGTGTTGATATGATCGGATTATTTAACCCTTAAAATTCAATTAAACTATAGCAGTTCACATACAAATGAATTTATTTATATTTAATTTGGTTAAGCTCTTTTGTTAACTTATTTAATGGATCGAGTCATTCGTACAATAACAACCTATCTATACTATTGTACCTTTATTATGTACTCCAGAGAACTGTTTTACTGCCTACGCATATATTCATTCTGCTAATCTTACTACCAATCGCTTAATTGATTCGATGATTCATTCATTTCACTTTGTATATATATGTACATTTTAATCCTGTTCACTGACTCACTGAATCGTTGACTCGTACACTCGTTTATTGACTCGATCACTCGCTCGCTCATTCGATTCGCACTCTCACTCGTCTGCTTTACGGCACTAATCTTTCATGATTGCTTAACATCCTTGTAATTTTGAATATCTGTGCGTACTTACTTAATTACGCCTGTTACCCCTCGTGGAGGAGCATAGGCCCCACACCAGCATTCTCCATCCAACATTGTCTTGGGCAATATTTTCCAGTTCTTTCCAGTTGTTATTCATCCTTTTCATATCTGCTTTTATTTCCTGACGTAATTTGTTCTTTGGCCTTCCTAATATCTGTGCGTGGTTCAGTAATAAACGCAATCAACACTTCGTATTCTCCATCTGATTTATACACCGTTGGGACGTTATCGAGTAACGGTTATCAGGACGAACAATATATGAAGTTTAAGGATAATATCAAATACTGACCACCATCAAATAATATCCATATATCATTGAAAATTTATATATTTTATTTTTATTGTGACTAAATATAGTCGAGTTATTTTGTATTAAGGATAAATATGTTTTCAACCTGTAAACTTTAGGGTTGAATAGAGAATGCTGGTGTGCGGCCTATGCTCCTCCACGACGGGTAACAGGCGTAAGTAACTTGTAAACTTATTCAGAGAACTAAATAAAACATTTTCAATTGAGATACGTTACACTTAAGGTTTGCTTTAGTTATCAGTTAATTTGTTATAAAGTAAGTTGTAATTCTATAAACCAAATTTTTGAAATCAGGAATGTTTACTTAATACCGGAAATAAGCAATTATAAGCTTATTTACAGAAATAAGGAAGTATTATTAAATGAATCTCAGAGATAACTAGTTAGTTGGCAACATATAATAAAAAGATGATTATGTGAGATAGTGGAGACAATTTGAAGCTCAGGTAAATGATTTTGATGGAGTTTTGTTCGCTCATTTGGATGGTTTGATCGTGAAGCTTTCGTCGTTCTTTTGAACGACATCATCAGCACAAACGCCGGGTAGAAAATGATGTAATTCTTCTAGAAATGATAAAATTACTGGATTATCGAAATCTCTAATCAACTTAATTGAATGAACCCTTAAAGTATATATTATCGATAGTTACGAACAAATTTATTACATAATCCAATATATTCAAATTAGAAATCATGACTTAGAGTCCCAAGTAGGACAAGACGCGCGTACTGGATTCCACTGCTAGCCACTATCCATCTTTGCTTACCATGCTTGTGAAATAGGGCTATATCAAGACAATGCGCACAGTATGCACATATGCGAATTAGAGACTGACTAGTTGCAGTCCTAAACAACAATGGGAAGATTCAAACAAGTAATACTAAGTAAAATGTGGAAGTTGTTTTAAATAAAATAGCTTTCAATGAACAACGCGTTTGATAAAGACAAACTGTGGAGATGAATGAGGAAGTAAAGTTACAAAAATATAACAGGATTAAATAGAAAGTAACACACAAATGTTTGGGAATATTAGTGTTTTATAATTTATAGATGTTTTAAGCTACTCATTGCCGAATGTTTGACAATACATTCCAGGTTTTACATGGTGGTCTAGCTTCAATTGACTCACGCTTTCAACTATGATTAATACATAAGCTACTAAATTTTAGTAAGTAGTATAGTATAATACCTATAAAAAACGGACAAGAATTAGAGGCTTCATAACAAATCCAAACAAGTGACATCAAATGTTCGATCATTGTATGTAAATTATTCAGAAAGTTTCGAAGTTGAGATGTTAAATGTACACGGTTCCGTCACTGGGTAGTAACAAATCCCTTATATTTTGAATACTTATTATTGACGGAACTCTGTTGACAATGTTGCAAAATGAACACTGAAGAAATTGGATAAATCTTAATTTACATCATTCAATTAGGATTTACATGCACCATGTAATTTTATGCATAAAATAGGTTTACTTTAAATGTATTGCATATTGCGTTCTATACTACGAAAATCACTCAATACAGTAGTCATTATATTAGCCCCCAAATGCCCTGGTACGGCCGAGAATGAGGAGAGTCCACTCTCCCTCTCCAAATGCTCTCACATGGCCACGTGCATATAGCCTCTTCCACGGAAGTCCTACACACTGCCTTCTCGTCGCATTACTGTTTTTTACGAAATTGAGAGGATGAAAAGCGAATGTCCGGCGCTTTAACCGAGTTGGTGGACATCAAATGTCCACCTAGGGGAGTTGGATAACCCTGATTCCAAATCAATAGTGCACATAGACTCCAGCATCCTGAGGGAACAAATGGCGTATGAATCAATTGTTGGTCACCGGCTACCATGGGACTGCATCTCCTTACGATGCTTCATTGCCTTGTGGATCAGACCTTTAGGTTGAACGCTCCGGTTGTGGCTCCCTAATGAAACCACCTGCTTCAGTCTGGGCACCTGGACAGTATCACAGTCCTCACGCAAATCAAATGAGACTTGTGCGGCCCATATAAATCTGGTGCCGATTTATACCAATATGTATGTGTACATTACATTAGGTCAACTATATATGATAAGAATGTTTACAACTATGCTGATTACAATATGTGTAAAGATTTTTTTACTAACTAATTGTTGTGAAACTAGTCTATCAGTGGAATTATTTAGCAATAGATCTCTACTTCATTGATCAATTTCTACGAACGAAACCGACATCCTTAGGTGTACATTTAGGAAAGTTCAACGAGTTTTTGTTCTTGCTGAGCTGAAAGGAATTACGTTATTGAGGATGAAAAATACTTCAATCATTTTGAGTCTGGACAGTAAAACCATCTGTTCTATCAAATATGATGAATATTATGATCTAATCTTACAAGGTTACAGATATCCTACTTCTAAGTATAAGCCTACTGACATCTGACGTCTAGTTTATATCGTATAGTTCAAAGCATTACAGTATCCTTTTTGATGGTTTCGTCATTATCTTTGTATACTAAATAATAATAAGAATTCATTGTGTCAGGAGTAATATAAGACACTAAATATAATTTATTCGTAAAAAATGAATGTATTATACAAAGGAAGTTATTTCAACTTAGATAGTTGATTGGTAAGAAAGAAGTATACAAGCAGTTCATAATAATAAAATACTTTCTTGTCATTTAACCCCTAAATACAGTTTTATACATACATAGCTGAGCAAAGAAAATAACTCTACAGTTAATTACATCCAACATTTATTTTCTTCTTTATTTCTGTTAATATACATAAGATGCATGTAACATATGATTAGAAATGTGTAGATTAAGGTAAATATTATACATCAGTAGTAATAACTTTCACATCAATTGAAATCTTCAGCCATGTCTTCTGTGAATCGATCACAGTCACTATAGTCTTCCGAAACTTGATCATCACTTAAACTTACCCAATCAAATTCATTCATGCGACAAATGTTCTCTGCTGAATGTCTTACCGGTGTGGTTGTCATCACTGTAGTGACTGGTGCCATTGACGGTGCTGATTGTAACATCGATGACAGTCCTAATTCTTGTTTACTTACATTTGGATTCTCTTTAAAAATATTCACTTTCTTATCATGTGTTATTGACTTTGTATCCGAGTTTCTTGATCTGATATAATTTATGAGTATTTCATGTATTTTTTTATAACCTTTCTCTGTACATAATGATAAACAATCATTTTCCATACAGTCAATGATTTCAACTTTAACTTGTTTGTCTAGTAGGAACTCAACAGCTTCCTGACAACCTTCACGTATAGCTAACATAATAGGTGTTCTATCCCAGTCGTCTTTCATATTCATTAATCTCGCAAAACCTTTACACTGTGCTAAATAAGCTAATATTTTGACAGAATTAGTTACTGCCGCCCAATGTACAACGTTACGACCATACTGGTCAATAGTGTTATAAGGACAACCCTCGTCTAATAAACACTTTACCACTTCATCATTCCCTGCTTGGATAGCAACAATGATAGGTGAACACTGTCGAGATTCACAAACTTGATAACGCCTTCTTGAACGACCTGTTGGTTTCGGTGTAGTAATTTGATGTGATTTGACAGATTTGACTGGTTTTTTATTGAGTAGAGCCTCTTTTTCAAGCTGGTATAACGACTTGACTGATTCTAAAGAATTAGCAGCAGCCGCGCTAGTCAAAGCTGTTCTACCAAACGAATCAACATATAAAGTACCAAGTGGTCTTTGATTAGGTTCATTATGACAGATTTTATTAATAACGTCATGTCCTACATTCATATGAGCTGCTAAATGTAGAAGACTTTGATCACCAACAATGTTCATTGATAGATCATCATCCAAATAATCTTCGGTACCAGCTTTGTTTGACAACATCTCTACACCTTTATTTTGATATTTATTGTCATCTAAAACTTGTTCAATGCGACTTTTCTGAGTGACATTACATGGGTGTAGACCATCTAATGACGAAATTATTTTAAACACTTCTTTGTTATCAGATCCCATGATCTTTATATTCGCTTTCTTATCATAAGTACTATCTAAATTTAAACTTTCATTATTAGTGGTTTTTGAATTTTCCTGAGGCAAAAGTGAGTCATATCTATTTTTCAAATCAAATTTACGCTCACGCTGTTTGTGCTTTTCCTCTTCTCCGAAATGCTGAAAGCTTCCCGTTTCTTCACTGAATAAATTTCCCAAATATTTTGGAACAGTAAACAAATTTGCATTGTTAGGTAGCACGTCTGACATCATTTTATCCTGGTTTAGAATTTGTAAACAATAAAAAAATAATAAAAGTAAAAATAATACTTCATTTACTTTTCATTAATAAGATCCAATACAAAATATTTATGAAGCTTACGGATTAATACCCTATGAAAACTGTTAAGATATAAATATCTAGCGAATGGACTACATTTCACTGAATGTACTTAGGAATGTATTTTTGTGTGGTTACATTCTCTGTTCTAGGTGATTTAGTAGTGAAGCTGTCGTCTTTCTAGAGTATATCACTTTGATTACAACTGGAATACAGAAGCCCTATATATATATATTCATATTATAATACATAAGTATTATAACTGCCTGTAGAGTCTAAAATCCCATGATTTAAATCATTTATTTGATTTAATATATGGTATTATTTGTTGTTTAATATCACCAACTAATTTATGCATATAATTTGCAAGATATTTCGAATCTTACTGAATCATGACTATAATCATGAGTATACCGACAATATTGTCTCTCGTAGTCAACCTTCTTTAACCAAAAACTGACTTTCAAAACCAGGCACTTGGAAAAATCCTAATTTATAGTTGTTTTTACAAGTATGCAAACGTTTTCTCATGATCACTTTGTTAATCGTGAATATTTGTTCGAAAACTTATTTTAGATAACAGACGAACTAGCTGAAGTCCAGTGTTACCAAAATTCACGCTTTCAGTGAGTTGTTCCCAGAATAAACGATAAATTCTCTTATAGGTTTTCTTAAAATGAAAAGAAAAACAATACCCTTTTGAAACTTAACTTCTGGTTGTAAACGAGGTAATACATGATTTTTCTAAATTCTTCAGGTAGATTCCTACTTGGAGACTGTTATCATGATAAATGAATAGCCGTAAACCACAGCAGACATAGTTAAAATCTACTTAACATCCCACCTTTATGTTTGGGAAAACAGCAAATTGTTTTACTGATTGTAAATTAATTTATTTGAGTGTGACTAAAGAAAATATTGTCTTAACCGTTACTGTCAAGTTTTAAAGTTAACATACTTTAGTCGTAATAAAGTACATAAGATTGATGTTGAATGTACCAGCGATCATACATTTTTTAGGTTTTGATCAACAGACAAGTGTGTTTGAATGATCATTCATTGACTTGAAATACTTAAATAAAATATAAAATTACAACTACTCTACTCTAAGGCAGTGTAAAGGAGGAAATAAACAAAAGGGCATATAGTACCCTAAACATTATTACCCTTACAATCATAACTAATTACTACCTTACCATTACTGTGCCTTTAACACAAGCTATTTGTGTTTTATTCTTGCATTTAAGACGGAAATGCCTTTTAACTTTCTTTGCCAACCTATCCAACAACATATCACAGTTATATTGTGGTGTGCACTGCTTGTAAGGACAGACATAAGTAGGGTGTAACAGGAATTGAAAGTAAAACTCTTACCAGCAGAAGAGTGAAATAAAGAGAAGGGGAAGAAAAATGAAGGGCAGTCAGAATGACAACAGGATGGGAAGAATGATGAAGCATGTAAAGGACAACTGAAAGAAGATATGCAAATGATGTATTCAATATAAAGTTTTAATATTTTATAAAGACATTATTTTATGTTGCAGAGAACACTGAATTGTTTCTTTATCATTTCTTCACTCACAACAATTTCATTGTTTCATTTATGTAAACATCTCAACAGAAGTATCTATTATTCTGGTAATCAAATATAAGAGGATAACTAGTTTTGATGTTCCTTCTACATTGAAACAAATATTTTTCTCGTAGGTACTAAAGTCCTTGCTTGTGAAATTGAACATATGATGATTGTTCGATATGTGAAGGATAATCATATGAGAATGTTAAACTTAGCTGCCAAGTTAAAGGAAGCAATTATGTTTGGTATTCAAAGCATACTCTTCTCTAAGCTTAATAGATGATTCAATTATTTTCCTTAACGAGGCTACGATTTCTAACAGTCTTAAGAAGGAAAGGAGTTAAACAAATATCCTAAACATTGATAAAAACTATAATAGATACTTCGTCACTGAATCACACACCTTAATGAATAATATAACGTTAACACTTATTTGAATACGTTTTACAGTAACTGATTTTGTATAACTCATATACATTTTGTTGAAATTCCCTTATCTGCCATATAAACATTCAAAACTGCGCTGTAATTTCGGATAAGTTTATTTTGTATAGATTTACTTTGAATAGTCTTTATCATTATGACAATAATGAAGTAGAATTTGGACAACTCAACTTACTTGAGTAAGACGTTTCTTTTTACAACTTGGTGAAAAATCATCACTCAATGAAATATCTGTTCTAGGAATCTGTATAAAGAATAAACATTAAAGAATTCATTAATATTGTGAATCTTGAATCATCTAAATATTAGTTTTAGCTAAAGAATCACATTAAACTAAGAATACTGTATGAATCAGATAGCATTCAACTGTAATTTTCAGCTACATATATTCTGTTAGGTAGGTCCTGGGTTCGAATCTTGCGAGGCGATATCGTGTATGCGCATTGCTGAGGAGTCCCACAATAGAACGAAACAGCCTTCCAGTGCTTCCAAGTTTTCCATGGTGGTCTAGCTTCAATGGACTGATGATTTCAACCATAAAATTACTAAAAATATCCACAGGAAACCCCTTCTGATATAAAATTGTAATCATGAAAACTACTCCTATAAGTACAACACTTAATTTAGAATTATCTTAGATAATTTTATTATTAGATATAATACATATAAATGATTAATCATATTTCGTTATAAATATCCTCACAAAGATTTTTTAAAAAGATATTATACATTGGACAAAGCTAATGCTAACAATGACCACTTCTCAACTAATGTTTTGTAAATAGATTGTAATGTTTACACAAAACTAAGATAGTAGGCGATACTTCGTTATCGTAATCATTCTAAGCCCAATTCTTATTCATTTGGTAATGAGGAAAGATTTCATTATTCAAATATAGTGTCATTACTTTTGTCAAAAAAAGTAGGTTCATACAAATTTAAGTGACGAGAATCTATTTGATATGTCCAAGCAGTGCTTACCGCTTTCGGTTTGAAGATTAAAGATAATTTCTTTTGACAGAATTAGATTTTTAGGTGATTATTCAATAGGATGACGATCATAAATTGATGACTACTTGAATGGTTGTCTTATTTAAGTCGGTTTATAATCTTAATAAATTATTTTAGTGGAATATTATTATTATTAGATTATTAGTATTTGTGATACAGACTGCTACAAGTACTGGGTTGATAAAAAAAGACAAACCTTATCTTCTAGATGTCATTTTAATATACGATATTTGATAAATTCTTATAGATACCTACAATTAAGTATAGACTTCAGGAACAACACTAACTTTATCTGAGAGGAGTCCAGCAATCATTTCTTCATGATTGTACTTTGAGACATTTGAAAAGAGGAATGTATCCTTCTCATTAGCCGTTGAAGAATTCAAGTAATCTTGAAAAAATGACGAAGCTGATGGAGTTTGTTTAAGTTTATTATCAAAATATTTTGATTCATTTATTGTCATTGTTGTTAGAGGTGGTTCTGTAACTCCTACTGCTGATTTAAGTCCCGTGAAATAAACTGAAGATTGTTGTCCTAATAAATCAACTTGATTAGGCTTAGAATAAATCGATAATACAGGTGGACACCAGATACCTTTCGTTTTTACACGTTTCAATGGTTTTCGCCAGTTATTATCATATTGAAATACCAAGAATAAAATTAATATAATAATTACTGAAAAATAGAAAATAAACAGAATAGGTTATAATGCTTATGAATTAAGGCTATATCAAGGCAATATGCACAGTATACACAGATGCCAATAAGAAACTGACCAGTTGCAGTCCTAAACATCAATGGGAAGATTCAAAAAACAAACAATACTAAGTGAATTTAGAATAAATGAATGTTCTCATTCTCCACAATTCAGTTATAATAATTGAAAATGTACTCATATTACTTTTATTTTACAGTTTTGCTTATAATGAATAGTTTTCAATAGCTATGCATAAATATTTGTGAAGATAGATATTGAAACTGTCAGCAGTTGGAATATCTATTCTGTTTAACCGTTTGTGTATTAAGAAGATAGTGTTCAATAGTACACCTGAACCACAGATTATTTAGTTAGATAGTAAAAGAGGAACAAAATGTACTCGATAGTAATTGTATTTTGACATAATTAATCATAGCAACTATTCTTATTATCAAAATAACTATGTTACATTTAGTAGGATCCAAAACTTATAAATCACATTCAGATTTGGTGTTACATGATCATAAGTGATAGATAATGTTGACTATACACTTGTTTAAAGTTAAAGATATTCAAACCAACTTATATCATGTTTTATCACTTGTTAACTACAACATAGAAAGATTTAGATATTTATATGGTGAATTCTGGGACATGTAAATTCAATAGTTCATTCATATCTGTATAACATTTTAAATCACCATAAGTTCAAAATAGGCGACTATCAATGTATATTCTGTTGAAAATAACCAAACAATACAGTTCGGAATTGTATATGATGGCTTCTACACAAATGGATCACAATTCTTGTCTATGAAAATATACAAATACAATCCACCTGAATATAAATAAAATCTAAACAAAGTATAGAATTCTACTTCTTTAAGAATAACTATAGAGTTAATTACTTTTACATGAGTGTTCATGAGTCTACTACAGTACAGACATCTTATTGTTATGTGCTTATATTCTTGACATTTATCTAATGTTTGTAATCAGATGTTGTAGCTGCTACGACAATAGAAACTGTACTAGTAATCACAAGAAAATTTGTTGAAATCTAAACATTATCGACATTTTTTTCAAACACAACTATTATTTACCGACAATTCCTGAGGTATTTTGATAATATTACTTTTATAGTTGAAATCATGAGTCGATTGAAGCTAGACCATCATGAAAAACCTGGAAACACTTAACGGCCGTTTCGTTCTATTATGAACTCTTCAGCAGTGCACATCCACGATCCCGCCTAACGAGATTCGAACCCAGGACCTATTAACTCATGATTTCAACAATATAAAATTACTAAAATCTCCACAAAACACCCTTAGCCACTAGACTACTGAGCCGGCATCCAGCGGTGTTAATGTCTAACTTCAACCAATCCACGAAATTTAGCAACCGTTCACCATTGTCTTCAGTGAGTTATATCCATTGGTTACTGGGGGTTTCATTTTATTTATTATTTCTTTTAAATAAATTCAGTAAAGTTTCTATTCACTTTCTTTACAAATCTATTATCTTTATTCATTTGAACTAGACAACACATACTTTCACCCTTTCATGAATAGCTCAAATTATCAAAGTATTGATAATGCTTTTACATTCCACTTATTATTCATCAAAAACTATAACACATATGTATAGGTGGTAACTTAAGCATATAGATCTTCACAACTATTTCTTATGCATATAAGTAAAAAGTATTGTCTGATAAAGTAATCATGTCATGTATCTGATTAATTCATTCATTGTTTATGTTTATTTATATTTTTGGATACACACCATAAGAGTTATTATGTAAAACATACGAATAATCTAATGCGTCTGAATTGTGATCCTACTGATCTGTTACTGATCTTTCAAACTGGTTATTATGTAAATGTGTATTAGATCAAAAATGGTGTCGAACATTATTTCACTTATATAAGAGGTCAATGAACACAACTGATTATATTTTTTTAATGTCTGTTTTTACTTATTTCCTTATAAAATTAAGTTATATTATTCAATACAATGAATTATTTGCATAATTTACTTCGAACACTCATTTATAAATTAATCAAAGACGTAAACCAAAAAGGAAAGTGACTTATATATTGATTGATCACCGATTAGTAACCAATGCCATGTTTATCTAGTCCTTAGATGTGATCGAATTCCGTTGATCAGATTAAAATGTAGTGACTAGTTGAAATGACTTAACATCGTGTGCACTATGATTGGATATCTGATGGTTAAAGGTACTCAGGCCCAAACATATAAACCTAGATTTCAACAAGGGATAACTTTACTTCGAAGTAATTAATCCACCCTGTAGGACAAATGTAATGTTGGTTACCTATATCTGATCAATCCATGTAGATATCTCAGCCTCACGAGAGTTAAGCTAAACGTTGAATAGAGGAATGGTAAAGTTCTAGACTACAATGCTGGATGACTCAGTTTCGAAAGCAACAAGGAATCTCACTTTCATTAAAAGTTCCGGGTATGCCCTGGTAATAACTACTAACATGCATAAAATCTAGGTTCAAGATTATATACAGGTCACGTCCAGTCACCTAACATCAAAGGCGAGCTCTATTTACTGAGTGCATATAAGTAATCTCAATTAACAACAGCATAATTGTTGAAAACGTCTATTTCAGTTATAAATTAAGCTGGACTTAGGTATCCAGGTTTATTTGTAAAATGAAGAGAAAAACTAATCAAAGAATCACCAATTTCCGCTTATGGTTCATTTGAATAAATCGAATAAAAAAGAAATTCACAACTCGTTGATTTAAATGCGAAGCATATTTACAACTGATTTCTAATTTCATATTAATGCAAATCTTGAAAGAAATTAGAGGGAAGATGAAGATACTGTGGACTAAGCTCTAGTTGAATTAACATTCCCGTTAACTCAAATAACTAAAAAAACACGTATGCGATGAATATACTTATGAGATGTAGCGATTTATAGAATGAAAAACTGTCAAGCGGCACTTTTGTTTACCTTTATTTTGCACAGTTAGCGACTGTTATATTGGAGACACTATCTACGCTTAGTTCTTTTCAAAGTAAGACTATAATTTATGAACGACGTTTGAGCGACTATAGACTGACCTTAAGAATATCCACCTAATAATTATGGCAAATGAGGATTGTAAACCCATGTAAGGAACTAGAATTATGACCTACAGTTGATGGTTAAGGTTAGGAATTAGATTTAGGGTTTTCATAACGAACTGACATTAGTTATAATGCCAAAACTATATTTAGCCAGATGGATGAGTGAATTTCGCTCGAAAATCCGAGACCTGTTATCTTATACCTGACTGGTTCGTTCATAAATTATAGTCTCTCCTTTTTCAGCTTTGATATATTTATTATCTAATCTAAGTTTAGTAAAAACTTCAACATCAGTTTTGGGTTACTGAGATTGTTGAGTTTTTATTGAGTTCATGAACCGATCAATGAAAGACCATCATTGAAAGCCTGAATTGATTGGACGGCCATTCAATCCTAGTATGTGACTCCTCGGAAGTGTATCAACGACCCAGCTCGCCGGACTCGAACCCAGGACATTTGACCTCGCGTGCGAACGCTTAACATGAAGACTAATGAGCCGGAGTATAACGGTCTTAATGTTTAACTTCAACCACCATCTCTACGATGATCTGATATTGATGTGTTCATAATCTCAATAAAAACTCAACAATCTCCACAACTCTATACTGATAAATATCGTGAGCTCACTTGTGACTAGCTTCCACAGGTAATTATCATATTCCTAGTGGGAAGCTGTGACCAATGGAGTTCAACTGTGTTGGGCTTGAGGCAGTTACTCTCCGAAGACAATGGGAAATGGTCGCATAGCATCGTGGATTGGTTAAAACTACACATTAACACCGTTGGATGCCAGCTCAGAGGCCTAGAGGTTGAACGTTCACGAGCGAGACCGGAGCCTCTGGGTTGTAATCCCAAGTGTGGGATTGTGTATATGTACTGCTGAAGAGTCCGATACAAGGATGAAATGGTCATCCAGTGCCTCCAGGTCTACAATAGTCGCCTAACATTAATCGGTTTGTGATCTCAATAAAAAAACTTCAATTGTCGATTGCAACATAGGTTTAGTTAAACAAACATTCTGAATCTAATAAATTGACTACTAAATAATACGATATATTATGTTATTTGGTTATGATTTCCAAAGAAGCTATGTAAATGAAGCGTGAGATGTCATCATCAAGTGAAGCAAATATTCAACATAATAAATTATTCCTGTTTTGAAAAATTGGAGGAACCATTGACCATCTATACTTGTTTATATTTATTTGGTATGTTCAAATGTAAGATCAACTCAACTAAATATACGATCAGAGTTCCAGAAATGTTGCAGCAATCTTTGAAATTGATAATCAGCCACAGTTGCTTCAGTGAACACTCGAGACACTTATGTAGTATAAAATATCGTATGTAGGTTTGCATATACGGCTGTGATAATGTCTCTTCGACCAATATAGTTGAACAAGTTCATATGCTCAAGATAAAGCTGCTTTCTATGACGTTTTATATCTATATTGTTTATTTATACTAACAAACAGAAAGCTTCTTATTGGTAGCAATAAGTCACTCAGATATTCAGATCTCATAGACATAAAAATTAATTATCTTAAAGATTCCTATTAATAAATATAATGACTCAGTCATTAAAAGATTCGATGTAAAAAACCAGTCAGAAGTCTCTCTACAAGCAAGTAACATACAGCAAACAAAACTACCATTTAGTATTGTTTGTTTGAATCTTCCCATTGATGTGTTAGGACTGCAACTGGTCAGTCTCTTATTTGCATATGTGTATACTGTGCGTATTGCCTCTATATTGCCTTAATTCACAAGCATGGTAAGCAAAGATGGATAGTGGCTAGCAGTGAAATCCAAAATGCGCTTTTTGTATGCACATATGCCAATAAGAGACTGACCAGTTGCAGTCCTAAACATTAATGGGAAGATTCAAACAAGCAATACTAAGTGAATTCAAACTTCACCCCATAGCACAAGCAAGTGGCTATCAGGACTCAGTAGCTGAGTGGATAACGCGATGGCATTTGAAGGGAAAGTTACTAGGTTCGAGTTCCAGTGTAAGCATAAACTCTGAGATGCAAGTACACACAGCTGAGGAGTCCCAAATTGAACGAAACGCGTGTCCTGGATTCCAATGTCAGCCACTATCCATCTTTGCTTACAAAACTACCATTATTTTGAAAACAGCACCGCTGATAGTTAATGCTAAATAAACAAGATAGAAATTGAATTTAGAGAGTAGAACTTCAGCAAGTATTATATGTACTTATGTAGTTTAAATGATGTGATCAATAAGAAATAGTTCTTATTATGAACTAGCTGAACAAGAAATGATAGAGGGATAAAACTAGGGGAGACTTGAAGAAAATAGTTTGTTCTAGGTCAAAACTTTGAAATACATCAATAATTGATATTAGAAATTTTGAATAATGTAGTGGTTACGTTAAGATTCTGTAAAGTTTAAAGAAAGGGGAAATATAGCTGCTCCATCTTCTTTAGAAAACGTACGAGAATTTAAAGTTAGTCTTAACAAACTTAGGCTTGTATTATAAACCAATTCTAACTTACTTCCAGCCAATATGCATATACAAACGTATAGTCCAATAGCTTCTTTCGAAATTTTTGTATCAGTTGAAGATTCTAATTCCCATGGTGCTTTAAAATGTGACTGACTTGGTGAATCAACAAAATTCAAATTTATTATACTAAAAAGTGATCTGTACTGAATTGTACTTAATGCGGCAAGAATGTACATTTTTAGTTCATTTGGTTTAAGTAATTGAAAACTATCACTGGTGCACATATTTCCTTCGGTTGTTTTACAGCTATTATTTGATTGACTAGTGACTTCCAGAAGAACCTAAAGATAGAACAGTAAAACTTTAGAAAAAAATTGTTTGACTTTTAACATTAATTATGCATTCTAGTAAGTGACATTCGATGAACAATAAATTGTTAAACTTCACCCCTTTATCACACTAAACAAGTGATGTTACTGACAAGATAATTGGAATGTATATATCTATATTTAAATACAGATTACAACTTTATTGTTTTGTATTTCAAATAAACTAGACTATTAGAAGGAACTCATCAAATCTAAGCATTATTATCATCTATTACTTACAGTGACATTGAATGATATTCATAAAACGTTTAGAAACTAAAAGAAAAAAAATCAAAACTGTCGGATATAAAAGTTTTGAGAACCAAGATCTAATGTCAGAGAACATATGATTTAAAAAGCATACTCTATTAAAACACGAATAACTAAATCTTATTATAAATAAATTTTAGATATTAAATGCTTCAACGTAGTACTGATCATAGTCATTATTTATTTAGGTATTCACAGTGTAGATTTTTTAATGAAATGAACTTTCTTGTAAGTAGTTATCAATCGCCCAATTGCGTCGCAAGGCAAACCCTCAAGTGGAATTCTGAAGGCCAAAGGAAAAGAGGAATTCCAAAGAACTCATTACTCCGAGAAATAGAGACAGACATGAGAAGAATGAATAAAAACTGGATAGAACTGGAAAAGAAAGCCCAGGACAGAGTGGGTTGGAGAACGCTGGTCGGCGGCCTATGCTCCATTGCAGTAACAGGTGTAATCAGATAAGTAATTATCAATACTACTATAGTGTTGGTTGCTATGTTAAGCCCATATACCTTGTTCCAGCTTCTGGACAGGCCAATTTATCCACTATTTTTCTTGAGTCACGTTTTAACCTTGTTAATTATTCACGTATTACTTTAGATAGCTGGGTTTTTTTTAACTCAGCTTATAAAGGGATTCAATAAATGATACTTGACCTAAAGTAGAATTTATATAAATAACTACTGTAATATAGATTCTGTATTCTATCGATTGAACTATGAAACTTGAATGCTTTTAAAAGCCAAATTTGACCTAACTTATAATTAACCTCAAAATTGCTCAATAGTTATCTACCACAATTCAGATTTTCTATTATGTTTGATTTCTGACCTCTTATCACTAATGATAACAGTAGAAAGCCTAAGATATTTTAATCTACTTCTTAGATAGTTATTCATCGAATACTTACTTTAATTTGATTTTTATTAGGAATATCTTCTAATAACAATTCTTGAGTGATGTCATCCTTTGCAATTCTAACAATCGATTGAAGAATTATACCCAGATTTCCCAGATAGTAATTACGATTCAACTTGAATTCTGATTGATTTGTTTTCAAATGAAGTAAAATGTATTTGATTGACAAATAATTGTTTCTTTGTTCATATTCACAATCTCCACCATCATATCCACATTGGATGGTATTACATTGTGACTGACAAATACCATCTCCATATGACTGTAAGCAGAATTCAAATGATATACACTGTGATCTAAAGTAGATATAATAGAACGGAAATATCAATGAAATTTTAAAATTCAGTTTGTCATCTTATTTTTTTTAAATACATTAGTGTTTGACATTATTAATTACGAATTATTATCATAGTTGCAAGAGTGAGTCAATTGAAGCTAGACCAACAAGGAAAACCTGAAAGCACTGGACGGCCGTTTCATCCTATTGTGGGGCTCTTCAGCAGTGCGCATCCACGACCTAATGGAAGATCCCATTGAATCAAGTTGATTAAGAATAATGGATTTATTTGTTGAACTATTTATTGAAAAGTTTTATTTGATCCATAATCATTAAACGTTTAGTGTTCTGGATTGGATAGAATTCCTTTCCTACATCACTTCAAAGGATAATTAGCATTTATAACACTTTTCTTAAATATCATAGCTACATTAGTTGATATATTTAGACTCAATTATTTAACTTAAGATTACAAGTGCTCAAATTGTTTGTGATTTGAAAATATCTTAAGTTTATCAAACTACTTTTTAAGGAAGTTAATAACTGAGAAATGATTACAGGTTTAAATAGCGATGATTTACAGTAGTCGATAAGATTACCTCACGATTTCAACATTTACTTCTAGACAGACTATTGAAATCTTACGTTAAGTTAGAAATGTCAGTATTAACCTTCTTCAAAGTAATTGTTTGAACTTGTTAACTGGGTAAAGAAATTAAATACTACAAAAATATTGTTAGAATAAAAATCCAATGGTATTAGTAGATGGTTATGCCAAACGGCAAATTAATTGAAGTTAGAGATGCGAAATATTGAATAATGTCTTAGTGATTTGTAAGGAATCTTACCATTAAACCTAAAACTTCTAGGTTCGGTAGACAAAGCAGTCGTGAATCTGCCTTACTGAAGAGTCCCATACTAACATAAAACAGCTGCTCAATGCTTCCTGGTATACAGCGGTCATCTAAGGTCAGTTCGCATTGCATACAATGTGACTCAATAATCTCCACAAATCCCACATACTGAAACCTTGTTAACTAGAATACAGTCCTATTATGTGATTCCTCAGCAGTGAGGAGTCCCATAATAGGACGAAACGGCCGTCCAGTGCTGCCAGGTTTTCATTGGTGGTCTAGCTTCAATTGACTCATGATCTCAACTCTATAAAATTACTAAAATCTTCACCAAACCCCTTCTGATAATGATCATGTGCTCACTAGTAACTGGCTCCATGAGGTATTTCCTGGAGTTCTAGTGAGAAGCAGTGACCAGTGGAGTTCAACCAAGTCTGTTTGGAGATATCAACTCACTGATGAAATTGGTGAATGGTTGCTCAATTTGGTGGATTGGTTGAAGTTAGACATTAACACTGTTGGATGCCGGATCAGTAGTCTATCGGTTAAGTGCTCGTGCACGAGACTGATAGGTTATGGGTTCGAATCTCGCGAGTGCGGGATTGTGGATGCACACTACTGAGGAGTCCCATAATAGGACTAAACGGCCATCCAGTGCTTTCAGGCTTTCGATGGTGATCTAGCTGCAATTGACTCATGATCTCAACTCTATATAATTTATTCCATTTTAATATTTTCCAATAGTCATCCAATTTAAAAATAAATTGAATTAATTTGTGCAGAAAATAGAAAGGAACGTTGATTTTGTCCTTAGAATTTTTAAATAAAACCATCCTTATACTGAAATTATGTTATTTACAGATAACTCAGCTATAAATGAGATTAATGCGGCTCACGAAGTTTATTTGTGATTTATAAACTAATTTACTGAACGAGAGTATACACTGTCTTGCATTATCCATCAGTAAAATACTCTGAAACTGTGGTAAAAGATCTCAGCCAGCTATTGTTCTGTGGTATGTGCTACTTATGTCGACAGCTATATGTAGTATGTATCATCTATCGAAAGTGAAGTATCTGGATGCAGAAGGTTAAAATGATCAAAGAAAAGGGAACAAGAACAAAGAATACTTGCTGTAGAAGCAAAGAAACAATGAAATCTGAAACGATTGATTGATATTTTGCAAATGAATTATTTACTGTATGACTCAAATTTTCTCCAAATGTTCTGTAGTTCTAGATTTAAATATATTTGATTGTCTTTACTTGTGTTCTTATTCACTATAGTTCCTATTTCAAGCAAACAGAATCCTTTCAATGTTAAAATAACTAAATTACATACATCATACCCCCTTGAAAAATATTACCGTTTCATTTAATTTTAAACTAAACAATTATTTTCACACAGGTAGGATATATAGTAGTAGTTGAGTAAAAAATATTTTTTTTGTATATTTTCTATATATATTTTGCATAGCAACTATTAAAACTGACTGAAGTTTACATTAATTTTAATGAAAGTAAAAACTATGATTGTTACATAATAATTTTAAAAATTATGAAAAGAACAGCATAGTCGAGTTGAACAACTGACAAACGGATTTACTTGGAGGAACATTTTTTTAATTTTTTTATTCTTAAATAAACTTTGGACATTTTTCAAAGTAAAAAAAACAAACAAATTTTTTTGAGAATAATCTATATGAAAGTGTTATTTTTTGTAATTTTTTAATTTGTTCATTTACATTGGAGATAATAAATAAGAATGAAATTAGTCATTTACACTTAATTTATTTTGAATAGAATAATAGATAGACTTTTAACTAGACGGTAATTAACATTTACAATTAAAAATAAAGTATTATTTTCATAGTTGAAAGCATGATTCAAGTGAAGCTAGACCACCAAAGAAAACCTAGGAGCACTGGACGGCTGTTTCGTTCAATTGTGGGACTCCTCAGCAGTGCGCAACCACGATCCCGCCTCGCGAAGTTCGAATCCAGGACATACCAGTCTCTCGCCAGATCACTTGACCGATAGACCACTAAGCCGGCATCCGATGGTGTTAATGTTTAATTTCAACCAATCCACGAAGTTCAGAAACCGTTCACCAGTTGTCTTCAGTGAGTTCCCATCTCACAACAGACGTGGTTTAAACTCCACTGGTCACTGTTTCTCACTAGAACTCCAGGAATTATCTCGTGAAGTCAGTCACTAGTGAGCATATGATTATATGTAAGGACGGCCCGTCGGTAGACTCTAGAAAACCCTAAGAAGCCCAGGAAGAGCCGCAGACATTCCACCCAATCACGGCTAGGGGAATGTTCTAGAAATGCCAACGTGGAGCTTCTCCATTGGATGGATTAGTTTGATACCTATGTGCTTATTGGTTGACCTAAATGATAATTTATTTTCAGCCAATATCTATAAATACACGAGATTTCTGTGCTATATTTTGACACCGTTCGGGGCAATAAACTTCCTGCTTACCAGTCTTTGTCTTCTCTCTTTTTGCGACGTTGCGGGTTCTATCGTTCAAGTAGTCAAGTAGTTCGCGGCATATTAAGAATCAAGGCTCTAGATATAACATTATAGATCAGAAGGGATTTGTGTGGAGATCGCAGTACTTTCATAGTTGAAAGCACTAGTCAAAGTATTATTTAACTGACTTTATTTGTTTGTTTATTTATTTTCAATTATTGACAATTTACGTATAGAGATATTATAGATAGATTCACATATTAATTGGTATCGTTGTAAGAACTATGATACATTTCTTCACAGAATACTAACTATGCAGTGAATGAGAGCACAGATGAGAACTATCGAATGTATTTCAGCACAAAATTACAGAATATCTGAGAATCATACAGTAAATAATTCATTTGAAAAATGTCAATCAGTTGTCTCAAACTTAACTGTTCTTTATATAAATATCAGTCAATCGTCTCAGACTTCATTGATCTTTTGTTTCTACACCAATTATTTTCCATTGTCGTTTTCTTTTATTTGATCTTAACTTTCTGCCTCCAGACATTTCACTTTCGATTGATGATACGTACTACTTATATCTTTCAACATCAATAGCACGCATCACATGCAGACCATTTATCTCTGAAATACCCTATGACTGTTCACTGAAATAATTTACTAACAACAAATTTACTATTGTACAAATTTTAACTCAGTGAAAAACTAGTTTGATTACATTCCGAGAGAATGTCAATAAATTATACGAACCGATATAAATTTATCACTTGGATCGCATTTAAAGCTGTGGTTCGAACTAGTTTAGTGGTTATCATTACCAGTATCATTACCAGGGGTTGATTGGACAATTTCAAATAAATCAAATATTGGTTAAAATGTTAATAATGATGCATTTGTGATATTTTAATGAGTAGAACTTGGAATTTTTGACGTTTCATTACTTTATCTAAGTAGTCTCTTCGGAGTAAATAAATAAATAGCTAAAATTAAATCAGAACTAAATTAAATAGTATTCAGAAACAAAGTTCAAAATAAAAATAGGTATGAATGGGTCAATGTCGTGTTGCGAAACGTCGAAAATTCTAACCACAACTCATTGGGATACCACAGATCTATCATAGTTTTGTTATTTCAATGGATAGACATAGTAATTATTGATTGCTAAGAAATAAAAACTTTCAAATAATAAAACCCGTATGCACTGTTATTCCTCCAGACTATTTGTCCATTGACATAAATTCAAGGGGTTTGACAAGTCGCTTCGATTATTTGAAAGTTGTATACCCATTCATAGTATCAGAATATCAATATCCTATGACAAAATACTCGAAAGTATTAAATAGATATCCTATTTGTAATAAATTGAGTTGTCTATATTGTATTTCATAAGCGATGATACAACAACAAAAGATTCTTATGTAATATTTCTATGTAGAAATCAATGATTCATCATCGAGTTCATTGTTCAAGATTATTATAGAAAACTATGGAACAATGCTTCGAACCGTCAATTATAACATATATCATCAAAATATCTGAAGTTATTGTCACCCGTGAGATGTCACAAGAATTTATTCTTTTAAATGTTTTCAACCAAATAAAGCATCAACTTAAGCACGTTACTACTTTACTACAAATCAGCGAAATCAATGGAAATTTAAGGATCAAATATTAAGTGTTATTCAGCTTCTTATAACTTTTCCGTAAGGAATTGTGGAGATTATTAAGTTTTTAATTGAGATCATGAATCGATTGATCTTAAACCACCATTGAAAATTTGAAAGCACTGGACGCTTGTTTCGTCCTATTATGGGACTCCTCAGTAGTGTGCATCCACAATCCCGCACTCGCGAGATTCGAACCCAGAACCTATCAGTCTCGTGCATGAGCACTTAACCGATAGACTACTGATCCGGCATCCAACAGTGTTAATGTCTAACTTCAACCAATCCACCAAATTGAGCAACCATTCACCAATTTCATCAGTGAGTTGATATCTCCCAACAGACTTGGTTGAACTCCACTGGTCACTGCTTCTCACTAGAACTCCAGGAAGTACCTCATGGAGCCAGTTACTAGTGAGCACATGATCATTATCAGAAGGGGTTTGGTGAAGATTTTAGTAATTTTATAGAGTTGAGATCATGAGTCAATTGAAGCTAGACCACCAATGAAAACCTGGCAGCACTGGACGGACCTTCGATCTCACGTACATAGAATAAATCATTAACAAATAAATCTTATTCATACAATGAAATGGTTTATTTAGTTTTTTCTTAGTAATTTTGCAAATGTAAAATTATCAAACAGTCCACTTACATATTTTGTAAACAATCAAAACCATCCATATAACATTCATTTCTATTACATTCAGGTTGACATTTACCATTTTTAAATTGTTCAACACATGTTGTCTTGTTATAATAGTTTACAATATGTTCAGTTGTTTGTAAACATTTAACCCAATACTGACAATCTTTTTCTAATTCATCTTCTACATTTAAACATTTGGCATAGATACATTTAGCTTGACAAATATTATCACCAGTTTTTGCTTTATTACATCCAAGTTGATAACAATGATCATATAATAATTTTATATTTTCTGTTGAATTCTTTCTGAATATATTTGTCTTCATTGACTGATTTCGAATTAAAGTATTTACATTAGGATAAAGATATTCAGTTGTGTTCGTAGGTGTATTACAGATTGATCCTGTAAATCCTAAATCATTTTATATAAAAATATTTCTTGAACGTACCATGAATGCATTGAATGAGGTAAAAAAAGACATATTTTTGAATGATTACGAATCTTATATAAACATATAAAAGTTTTACATATAACTTTCTACGGTATCGATAAACATTTCTATTCTATACCCACGTTTTATGCTATTTCAATGAGGCCTATTTGCTTGACTCATTTAAGACATCAATGTTCAAGGAAATGTCGATTAGTTTCAACTTATCAAACTCAGATATATCTAGTCTTAGCTCTCTATCATACTTTCTAGTGTTCAACATATACACATAGTTCCGTCATACTTCTGTCTATTGAAATAGAGCTAATTAACACTTGATGAACTTTGATCTTACAACTGAAGGTAAGAAAGAAAACCTCTCTTAAGTTTACAAAGTAGTATTCAACATCGAATAGGTTCCATTAACAGAGTAATTTATATTGTCATATAACTATTTGAACTAGTGATTGAGTCACATATCACAGTTATCAATATTCCTCAGGAAATGTACCTCTCAGATTCTAACTTATGTTCATCGTTGACATTCAAACTCAAATCTATTAGAAGTAGAAAGCTCTATATCTTAATTGTTCTGTTCACAGTAATTCATCAAACTTGTTGCCTCGAAAGAAATAACGTAGTTATGACATTTGAAAGTTTTGAAAATAATAAATTGCTAAACAATGGTAAGTCAATCAAACGATCATTAGCGGAACCATTAAGTACGTTTTTGTGCAAAATCAGTTAATTCAAAGACAACTTTAATAAAATCATATTCATTATAGGACAAACAAAAATTGTGTAGTAATAAACATATTTTGTAGCTCTTGTTTTTTGAATCATTAAAATTTTTAGTACATGCTGATCTAAACAGAACTTCATTGCATTAAACACGTTCTAACCGATAACAGTCAACGATGGTAACGTTACATCATAAATTCACCAAATTTTCTTGGCTAAGCTGAGTAAATCTCAGTTTATTGACTATATAATATTATATTAACAAAGAAACGTGATTTTCGATTTGACCACATACGCGATCGAGAATTCGCCCTGCGAAGAAGTTATGAAGCATGAGTAAGTGCTTGATTTCTAGTCCTTATATTCAGTTTCGGGATCTATTACTATTTCATCCATTTTAGGCTCAGTACAGAATTTTACTGTTGGTTCATTACAGTCTCTTGGATAATTTACAACTGAAAAGTATAAGTAAACAGTGTGAGTTCAAACGAAAATACTTATGATATTTATTCACTTTACCGACCAATTATTTTAGATTCCTAACATTAAAATCACTTATTTATTTCGAATATCTGACGAATACATTTAGCAAGCTTACTATTACCATCTAGATTATAAAAAAGGAAAGACATAAGGTACGGCGCATTGTAAAAATAAGGACACAGAAATATTCTTACCTGAAGGACATAAACAAACAAAATGATCCTTGTTTTGCAAGCAAGTTGCACCATTTTTACATTTATTGAACTTGCATAAATTTCGCTTTTTATTACAATAACGACCAAAATAATCAGGGTCACATTCACACAGAAAATCTACAATATACTCTGATTTGTGAATAAAAAATGATGGTCCTGAAACTGTTCTATTCTTTGAAGTCAATAAATGACAAACTGATTTCTCCCCCAAACACGGAGATGTAGGATAGCATGGGTTAATTTCCTGTATCGGAATACCAAATAAAAAACAACATAAACTACAGTTGGTCATTTGTTTTCAGTAGAACCTTTACACAGTAAGCTTTGTCCAAAAATACATCATTTTACACACAAAACGTATGGTTCCTTTATTTATAAATCTCGGGATAACGCAAATATAAAATGTTACTACATTGACACTTCTAAATGGATTTTTATATGGTAAGTAAAGTAACGTCAGTTCATTTAAACACTTTTAGGTAATTACAGATTGATAGTGGTGCCACAATTATATATTTTGGACCGTTGCCAGCTAACCTGTCAATAGTATATGTTGCAAAGTTACTTGAAGGCATAGTCGATAACATGTACTTTTATTAGCAGAATACGGGTCCAAACTGAAAATATCTTCTGTCTGTATAAAGCCTGCAAGGATAGAGCAGTACCTTAGTTTTCAGAGTTATTTCCCATATGGTGAAAACGAGACTTGAATAGGAGGATCATCAGTGGGATATGTTTTATCCTTACAAATCATACTATAGAATCCAAGGTGAAGATATTAAATGAACCATTTACTCAGAATGGGTGTCAATTAAAATTCATTATCTGATGAAAAGGCAGTAGTATGTTTAGAACTAATGTCAGTTTAAGAATTGCAAGGTCATCTTTATTATTACTTCACTCAAAGGTGAGTCAAATAGTCTATTGTGGAAACGGAGGTTTTATTGGTTTATTATTAAGACTTTTCATAGAACCAAGGTAATTATTAAGAAACATAGCCTATGCTTCATTTAAAAACTATACAGCGTGTAAATGAATGTGTTGCATTCTACTGTGCTTACCAATTTACAGTTGTCTGTGAACACAGATACTTAAAGAGGGATAATCCTGACTTGAGAGTGAGGATAGCTTAACTTGTACCAATACAGTTGCAAGGACAAATAAATTCAAATGATCCGATAATCACCACTTTCAATTGCCAAATATAGAGTTTAAAAGGACCATACGATTAATCTAACTCGTATAGCGCAATTTTTATATAATAGCTGTCTAGGGTAAATATGATGGTCTGTTGAAGCTTTACCTATAAGAACATCCAACGCTTCCCTTAATATTGTGAATTGAAAAGCGGTTCATGTCTCCAAAAAATCAATCCTGATAATATTGATTTAATTTCAACTTCCAGATTGATGGTATTCATAGAATTCTTTCAGATTATCATTCTTTTCTCTTATGTTCTAATTTATCTAGTTTGATCATTATCTCTTATATTTGACCATCATTGAGAACTTATGAACGATCAAACTATATGAAATATTTCACTTTAATATATCTCATAGCTACGATAAACTCAGTCTTCTCATAACATTACATCAGATATAGAATATATAATTGATCTTCTTTTTTACTCAGTTAAAAAATTTTTATTCTTTTTTAAAACTTCGGTCATATATTTTTGAGTTTATTTGACATTCAGTAATAAACAGTGACAAATCTATCTACAATAATTTTGAATCTAGAATTTATTCACATAACATAAATTGGTGTACATAACACCGAAGAATATTTTTCACAATAATCAGAAATATAAGTGTAGTGAACAAGAACACTAGTGGGGACAATCGAATATATTTAGGCACAAAATTATAGAGTATCTTACTAAAATCTGAGTCCAAGAGTGAAAATAAACTCCGAGATGCAAGTTCATCCAGCTGACGAGTCCCAAATTGGACGAAACGCGCGTCCTGGATTTCACTGCTAGCCACTATCTATCTTTGCTTACCATACAGTAAACAGTTAATTTCCAAACTATCAATCAATTGTCTTAATCTTGACTGTTCCTTCTGCAAATATCAGTCCATTTCCTCTGATTTCATTGTTCCGGCATTTTCATACAAATTGCGTTCCGTCCTTGCTCTTTCCCTATCATTCTTCTAATGAAATACATCCTATACCTGACCATCATTATATACTACTTATGTGGATGTAAGTAACCCACACCACATAAGGGCTGTGATCAATTTTTTTTGTTCATAATAAATATTCAATAAGACATTGGAATACATACGTATGACTTATCCAACAAGATTTCAAATATCTACATTTGTCTATATCAATACTTAAAACAACTTTAAATCCTACTGTATGACGATTTTAAATGTTTATTTATTCATCTTGTTCCAAACATTAAGCATATATATCTATAATTTTATAGTTGAATTCACGAGTCAATTAAAGCTAGACCACCATGAAAAACCTGCAAGCACTGGACGGCCATTTCGTCCTATAATTCTTTCAACCACAGTTTTAAAGTTAATAACAACTGCAATAATAAGGGATAGTTCATGATAACATTCAGAGCATTTACTTAACACTTATAAAAATTCAATAATTAAGAAACGCTTTCCTTTCTGTGAGAATGCTTTGTTTATTGTCATGAAATGCCAGTATATTACACAGTAGTAGTTAAAGTTTGAATAGATTTACATTTATTCTTTTAACCCTGAAATTTTCTAAAAGTAAGTAAGCGTTAAATGTGTCATATAACTTCTTCATTTAAACTGTAAATTTCAATTTTTATCTAGTTGTTAAATCATTTACATGTTTTTATCTGTATAACTGTGGTGTGTGCTACTTATGTCGACATAAGTAGTATGTATCTTGAGTCAGGAGTAGAATATCTGACAAAAGAAGATTGAGAAGATTCAAAAGAGAAGAACAGAAACAGAAAGTAATTGGTATGTAGATGACCGAAAAGTAAAGTCTGAGACGACTGATTAACATTTGCAAAGGAACAGTTAAGTTTGATTGATACTTTGCAAATTAAGTATTTACAGTTTGCTTCTCAGATTTTACAAAGATATTCTGTAATTTCGTGTTGAAATGAATTCGATTGTCCCCACTAGTGCTTGTGCTTAGTATATAATTACGCTTTCAAAAATCCCTACTTAAACTTTGTTTCTTCAGTTTATTTATACTCCTACACTTTGTAATGCTATTTTCGTTTGGTAGTGCTTGTCTTCATATTAAAATTAGTTTTTAAAATAGATAGATGACAGTACTAATGACATCTTTTTTTAAACTTGGTGGTTTATCGTTTTTTATAAGAAAATTATGTTTGTTTATAAGATGCTGATCATTGATATAAATAGTCATAGAGGAAATATTATTTTTAAGAAAATTCTGTTGACGCAGCTGAAGTATAAAACTATTTCGATTTGATGTTTCCTTTGAGTAATAAGACCTGTACTATTGTGATGCGAGTTACATATGTTACATAAGTAGTATGTGATGACAGTCAGGTATAGAATGTATTTCAGTAGAAGATTGATAAGGAAAGAACAGGAACGGAACGCAGTTTCTATGAAAATGCATGAACGATGAAATCAGAGACGATGGACTGATATTTGCAGAAGGAACAGTCAAGATTGAGAAAATTGATTGATAGTTTGCAAATTAACTGTTTACTGTATGGTTGTCAGATTTCAGTGAGATACTCTGTAATTTTCGTGTCAAGAACATTCAATTGTCCTCACTGGTGTTCTCGTTTACTACGCTATATGATATAGCAGTTGTTTAAACTTAGACCTATTGTGTATTATAGTTATATTACAGCATTAAGACAACAACAAAAAGTCGTAGTTTCATTTAAACAAAAAATAAATACCTTAGTTGTGACATTTCCTAAAATTTCAGAGTGGTTTTCTGTTTCAAAGGTATCTTTCTGTCCAGAAGGTTTCAATGAACATAGCACAATGGGTACGTTATAACTTTGTGTTAAAGCATTATGCGTCCTCAAGAAAAACGTAGATCTATTGAGTTTGATAAGTACTAGGAAATCAACTATGGCATATTGACTATTCAAGAGATTGTTAGTTACTTAATTGAATATGATAAAATGTTCAGATGCCATGGACATTAGTGCTAGTATTGAATAGCTTCGTGAACACATATTGCCTGCCATTAAAAATATTACCATTATTGTTTTCTTACCTGTTCACAGCGTACTCCATTGTACCATTGAGGACAAATACAAGTGAACTGACCAAATGGATCAGAATGACAAGTTCCACCATTCAGACAAGGGTTAAGTTGACATGGATCTCTATATTCACAAGTCTGACCTAATAAATATAACACATTCATAAATGAATTGCAAAATACCATTTGTATCTTTTGTTTTGAAAAAGTAATAAGATTTATGCATTTCACAGTAATTGTTTGATTTCAATTAATCAATGAACTCCATCTCTAAGTTTCATATACTGCATAGAGTATTTGTTTTTGGCTTAGCAAGTTAACAAACAGAATCATACTAGATTCATTCAGTATTGTTTGTTTGAATCTTCCCATCGATTTGTTAGGACTGCAACTGGTCAGTCTCTAATTAGCATATGTGCATACTGTGCGTATTGCCATCTCTGCTTAGAATCATACTAGTTTGTATTTCTTTGGATAAGGTCAATCATTGAAATTATATACATATCAGTTGCGGCATTTCTGAACTTGATGAGTTTTGAATGAAATTATTGTAGTTAGTCTTAAAATGGATGAAAAATTCTACTGCCTTTATCCATTCTTCACTGAATATTCTGTCATTATTACACATTAAAATACCACTTAAAGAATTGAGAACTAGAAAGTTAATAGTAATGAGTGATAAAGTAGAATATGAAACTTTTTGGAACTTATCACTTTACTTATTTGTTATCTTTCGTGTTAAAGTGTTTTAATAAATACCTTTTTAGGCATATCCCAACTAAAGCCAATTAAATAACAAGCTTTCTTCAATAGTGTAATCAGACGACGAAGATTAACAGAAATATGTGATATATTAGTGCAATACATTTCGAACAATCTGATCACACATATACTTGTTAAGAACATATATATATAAATGTAAAAGGTCAAATAGACTGGAAATGGAAGGTAAGAGGAGACAAGGATAATAATAATAATTCAAAGTTGAAATCATGAGTCAATTGAAGCTAGACCACCATCGAAAACCTGGAAGCACTGGACGGCCGTTTCGTCCTATTATGGGACTCCTCAGCAGTGCGCACCCACGATCCCGCACTCGCGAGATTCGAACCCAGGACCTACCAGTTACGAGACCGAGCCCTTAACCGATATTAATAATAATAATAATAATGTGAAAACAATTTGAAACCTAATCACTCTTATTAATAAGTTAATATTACCATGGTAGATTTAAGGTGAGAACAAACTGTTTTTGAATACACAAAGGGGGTTTGAATTTTGACTAAGACTTTAATAAACCTTAGTATACGCCTTTTTACACTTTTGTACAACACCACAAAATCCTAACTAAGATCAATCTTATGGCCTGTTTCGATTGTGCGTTTGGCAATAAAGAATGATAGATATTTATCCTCTACTCTTATATGGTCATTTGATTCTGTTGGTACATATTTACACGCCCTAATTTTGAAATCAGATTGTTCGAAATGTAATGAGCTAATATATCACATACTTCTGATAATCTTTGTCTTCTTATCACACTATTGAAATTTATCAAAGGTACTAATTACATCAAGCTTTCTTCAATTATCAGACTTGAAGATTTGATTCACTTCGCATATTGTCACTACAATTATCACTTGAATAGCATAAGTTCCATCTAGTCTGATATTCCACAATCATGAATCACTTTACAAATTCATTCGATGAGATTTTACAAATATATTATTCCTATTTAATGTTTTACATCAACTTGGCCTTCAAATACTGTGAAACTATTCGTTCTAATTTAGACGACAGTTCTTATATACTTACAACACTAATGTTTATCAGCTTCTTTGATGTTCACTGAGTTATTAGTTAATACCTACTTCAAAGGTTATCAAGCTTAACTAGCTTTTTCAATGAAACCAGAGTACTGATGAAAAATATAGATATAACAAGTTTTTTTCAAACACTTTCATAAAAATGTATGCTTACCAACATATCCTGTTGGACAATGACAATAAAACCTCATATTTGGTTTGTTTTCACAAATACCACCATTTAAACAAGGATGAATAACACAATCATCAATATCTTCCGTACAGTTTTGTCCAGTCCATCCTTTGAGACATACACAATAATAGTCTGACAAAGTGTTGAATTTCTCTAATGATGTTGTTCTACTCCAATCTTGAATATTTACACACTCAGCACTGTTTTGGCATGGATTCGGCTGACAAGGATTATACGGCATAGATAATTCTGGTTTTATAAATATAAAAAAAGATTCTAACTATTGCGTACAAACATGCATACGTATTAAATGTAATTATGTTAGCCAATAAAATTAATAAAGTTAATGAATACTAATGGACTTAAAGATATGAATATATTTAACTATTTTCTGAAGTTAGTCTCCCACCAGCAAATATCATATCCGTCCATCAATCATATATGCCCCAAAACATCGTTCCCTAACCCCTTTAAATTGCATAGAAATAAAACTTTGGAGTTGAGTGACGCGGTTTCGAGTACAACAGAGAGCATAAATTCCCTGAAGAGTACACATACATCTTTCTGACAATTACCAGTTGGCATTAAACCAAGATCCAGGTTCACTATTCATCTACCAATAAACGCCTAACAGATGAAATCCACGATGATTATACGTATATACAATTACACACTTTGTCACACTATTTTATTATTTATATGAACACATAAATATTAGTACAAGGGGGAACCAGATATATATGCGCCACACAATAACCATGAGAATGAGAACAGAAAGAGAATGTAACGTGAATATAGGAGAGAAGACAAAAAGAACAATAATGACCACAGATTAGTGTATGGAAGTGTAATAATAATAATAATAATAACGATAATACTAATGACAATAATAATGATAGGGGAAACGGAAAGGTACAACCGTAAATTCTTACAGTTAGGGAAGTTACAACCACTTTTATGAGGAAAGTAAAAGAAGGTTACAGCAGGCACGCCACTGGCTTCTATTCTGAGCCATATCTGACAACGTCTCTAGCCACTGTATTGCACTATCTCTCGGACCCCACTCAACCAGGGAGTCGTGAAGGACCAACAGAAGCCAGCCCTTTGCAGCTTTCTTCCATACCACGTCATCATGTCATACACTGACCGCCTCTCCGCTTTTTCCAACCAGTCCAAGTTTCGGCAAATAATGCATGACGTGGAATTCTCTGGGACGACATTCGTAGAATGTCGTAGAATGTCAGCAATCCTTCGGAGACAACGATGATCGGATACAGAGAGCCGTCTAACATCCCCAACTCGGAGAGGCCAGGTTTCACAAGCATAGAGCAAAACTGCTCTCACCGACACGTTGTAGATCCGATTTTTTACAGCCAGACTAACATCACAAAGGCACCAGAGACGGCTCAGATTGGCATAAGCTGCTCTGGCTTTCACTATACGTGAATCGATTTCATTACTCACGCCACCATCAGCACTTATTCAGCTACTTATTCAACTTCTCAACTACTTCAATCTGCTCACCATCCAGGGTGAGTACAGAATTAGAATCCTGCCAGTCTTGTAGAATTACTTTGCACTTCGAAGGTGCAAAACACATACCGTACCTATGGACACTGATCGCCAACTGATTGAATGCGGATTGTATGGCTTGAGCTTTATCGCACAGCAAAACAATATCATCCTCATACTCAAGGTCGAGAAGTCTTTCTCCAGGCAACAGATCCCCACCGCTATTACTTACATCCATCAGTGCTGTTACACAGTTAACAACAAAGCTTTCCCTTATAAAAATCCAATATCTCGAAACAGATAAAAGAAGTAATTAGTCAATCAGTTATTAAACAATTCAAGTCAATTTTACAATTCTATACATTTACTACCTAACTGACGTCAGAAACAAAACATTTGCATATATAAAGAAATCCTTAAAGTTATGTTTTAAAAAAATGTATCAATAACTGTATACGATAAAATATGAAAACATTGATTGTCTTATATAAAATGATACAATGTTTTATATCTCGTTTACCTTAATATTATAAGACTTTATACAGTTAAGCATTGTGAGAACATGTTTTGATCTCGTTAGCATTTTTTGTTTGTTTAGTTTTTTCACTCCACTAAATTAATAAATAAATGATATTACGAATCCAAATTGAGATCATGAGTCAATTGAAGCTAGACCACCATAGAAAACCTGGAAGCACTGGAGGAAATAGCCGTCCACTGCTTCCAGGTTTTCCATGGTGGTCTAGCTTCAATTGACTCATGATTTCAACTATATAAAATTACGAAAATATCTCCACAAAAACCCCTTCTGAATCCAAATTATGTTGAATATTTTTTATCATATTAATTTTTTTAATATAATGATCAACATGAATATAGTTAATCTTTATTATAAATAAGAATATTAAAAGCTTATTAGGTCGTGTTGTGACACGAAATCTTGAAAGTTCAAGTAATTCGTTCAAATCTCACGATTCAATTAGGAGTGAAATGATAAACATTAAACTACCGTATTTCAATGAGTTTAGACAAGTTCTTCATCGTGTTAGAAATGAATACGTGACTTCATAGGGTGCCCTTAGGTTACGCTTCATATTTATATATAACAATAGCAGGTACATTCAGCTAATGAGTCCCAAATAGGATGAAACGCGTGTCCTACATTCCACTGCTAGCCACTATCCATCTTTGCTTATAATGCTTGTGAATTAAGGCTATATCGAGGCGATACGCACAGGATGGACATATGACAATAAGAGACTGACCGATTGCAGTCCTAAACATCAATGGGAAGATTCAAACAAACAATACTAAGTGAATAGCATATATTGTTTACAATAAACTATGATCTAAGTGATTTTGAAAATTCTTACTTTCATTTACAGTTTTGATATATTAAATATTCCCATTTAAACATCAAAAATAAAAACTAATTGAAAAAAATATTTCTTTTCCAGTAGATCCTTGTCATGACTTTACATTGATTTATTGGATCAGCATCTGAATACGAAATCGACATTAAATAAAAGGTAGTTAATCGTAGAGCGGCTAGAATTAGTTGACAAGAAACCCCAAATCTAGGTTCCTGACTAGTTGTCGATAGCCGGAAAAACGTGTATGTAATCTTAAGGACAGTGATACTCACAATGGGATTCGAACCAGCTCTACCCTTAATAGTTTCAGAAGTTACCATTTAGCTATTTGAGCCTCAACCGAACACCTAGTGGGTCATGAAAAAGAAATATATATGTCTCACTTCAATATTATTTTTATAGACTGTATAAACTACTCATGAAATCTCTCTACTAGAAAGAGGATTAAATTTTAAAATACATCATGAACCTCTCAGTACTCTAAAAATCGCTCCAATTCTAGGACCGATACTTGGAAAACTTCCGGATTAGCAGTCGCATATATTGCTTCAAAAAACATCTCACATTTAGACGAGAAAATATCCCTCCACCTGGTGTCTCCATAGAAAATGGAAAGCTTTGCTCTCATTTAAAAAAGATAAAACGATTGTCATTGCCATAGCTTACAGAGGTAATACAATAATGATAATGAACAAAAGCGACTATGCAGAAAAAGCTCTTTAACATCTGTCGACGGGACTAAATTTAAATATTGATTCAAAGAATCGTCAAGTGGTTAAAAATAAAGTTAAATTAGCGACAATTAAACCTCTGAAAAAACTAAAGCATTTTATTGGTGTTTCGTTACAGTATGCTTTATACCCTAAATCTAACAGCACATCGCGTTTCTATGGGCTACCAAAATTTCACAAGCCTGACCATCATCTAGGTAGCACATTGAAACCACTTCAGCATATCCTAATTAATGTTGTAAAGGATTCATAAGAAATCAAATCAAAGATCTGGGAATTATCCATCAACAGGAATGAAACAGTGGTAGACTATGGTGTATCTTCATACACTAGCATTCCAATTGATAGATATCTAGACTTCATTAATGCTTTGTTGGAGAATGATAATATTCTATCTAGCGGATGTTCATTAAGCAATAGTTCAACCACGAAATCTCTCAAGCTATGCTTGAATTCAATACTATTCACTTTCAAAGTGACTTTATATAAACAGACAAATGGATCAGCCATCGAATCTCCAGTATCTCCGATTGTTGTCAATTTATTTACGTCTCATTCTGAATCGCCTATTTTGCCAGTACCATCAGAACACGTTTCTGATTCAGATATGTAGATGATACATTTGTTATTATTAAAAAGGCTCTCCTTAGAAATTTCTCCAAACAGATAAACACGTCCCTAGAAAACATCGAACCCACTTTCGAAGAGTAAGATGAACATCACGAACCACCATTTTTGGACTGCTTATTTGAAAAGAATTTCAATCAATGTCTAAATCTAATCACATAACGAAAACCATCACATTCAAGTCAGTATATTCGTTTCAACAAAAAATCCTTTCGGAAGAGCAAACAAGATCATTACTTCCGAAGAAGACAAACCAAGAGAAAAAGATAATATAATTTAATAATTTGCTTAGACATGTTATTAACAACATATTAAGGCAAAACTGTCCTTCTTCAAACAAGAATTGTAATGAAAGATCTTGGATTGGTACTGTGGTTTTATCTTGCTGCCAAGGTATGAAGAAATACAACGGATCTTTAAAACTTACCAAATTAAAGCTTTTTATGAGAGAAGTAACACTTTGAGAAACGTTTTAATTAGCATAGAATATAAGAACCAGTTTACATATACACAAAATTGTGTCTACATATTAGGTTGCATCGATTGTGGTGCGTTCACACTGAAGAGTCTTCTCGTGAAACCTCGAGTTGTACCTCGGAACACGTGGTTTACACAAAAAGACCCACTAATAATACTGTAGAATTGCGAAATTCTATAATTTAAATCAGTACATACTATCTTTAACAATCCTCGAATTGGTATCAAAAACATTAAAATAATTCAGAAAAGCTTTTCCAACCATAAAAAGAAAAAAGTGGCCGAAGCGTTTCAAATAATGCTAAATCCTTCTGCACACAATAGAAAAGAGGGCCTAACCACTCATTCAACCTGGACTGTTTATCCAAACAATCTCATTTGACCCTATTCATTTTCCACACAATTTAGACAAATACACTCAATTACAACCCCACTAATTCATATTACAAATGTGTACATTTTTCATACACACCTTGCGATGCACAAATTAATACAGAGATATGTTATACGGAATCACCTTTACCAAAAG